TTCTTATATTCAGGTGAAGAAGACAGAGCACAAATTTGTCTCCTCCCTTCTTCCTCCATGTTTCTCCACACCCCAGATGCTTTCAAAGGAAAGTGGAGGACAGTTCAGTGGAGCAGCTCATCCTTCTCTTTTTCTCTCTTCATGCTGGGATTAGCAGATATGTCCCTGGGCAAGGACAGAAGAACACTAAAACCCTCCTTTTCTTCTTAATGTGACATAGGCAAAGGCACATTTTGGACCTCTGCTCTGATTGTCTCAGTGGTTAGATGAAAGTTAAGTTGCCTGCAAGCTTGGTTTCCCCAGGACAAGCGGTGCAAGAGGAACTAAGTCCTTTTAAAAAAGAAGTGTTGGGCTGAACTTCGCAAATGAGGATGTGGTATTTCCAGGCCATAAATTAGAGCCTTTCAGCTCTCTGACAGGAATGTGCAAGTCATTTCCCTGGAGGGCTGAGAGTGCATGAACCACACAGAAGTTGATTCCTGGATCCAGAGCTGCAGTACTGAGATGTTCACGTGACAGGTAATTAGTTGCTCACTTAGAACTTCCCCCAGAAGCATTCCTCCAACATGGCTAAGAACTGAAGGGAATAAAGTGTGTTTGAATGACCTTTTCTCTGTATTTCTCTCCACCTATCCACTTTTCTCTTTCCTTTTCCACCTATCGCCTTTTCTTTTTCTATTCTACTATCCTACCAATATATGTGCACTGCTTTCTACATCAACTGTCTGTTTAATCCCTTGTAATAGTAACTAAGCAGGGCTTAATGGCTTCTGTCTTTCATCAGAATCCTAGTATTTGTGTTTCTTTTTTTTCCTGCTTATCTTGACTGAAGTCTAGATTCAACGTGATGTAACTGGGTTTTGTTTCACTGCCCTTAGCAGAGATCCACCAATTTGGACTGGCAGAGAATTTTTTCATGGTGATATTCTTTTACTAAGAGTTTTTGTTTTGTGTATGAAATACAAGCAAGCCATGAGTTATATGGGTCTATCAGTTCAGGCTACATGTATATGGCTTAGCAGGCAGCTCTGACCACTTGTTCTTCCACCAAATAACAACATGAGGGGGGTATAAGACATTTTAAAGATGTGCAGGAGTTGGATAGAGAGGGTTGTGCTTCTCATAGAGTAATCCAGCTGTTATGCCAAGCAAAATTCAATATGGTTTTGCAGACTTGTTAGATACTTTCTAGATACCTGTCCTCAGCAGGACAAGGGGACACGGTTTAAGTTGAGGGAGGTAGGATTTAGGTTGGGTGTCAGGGGGAAGTTCTTTACTATGAGAGTGGTGAAGTGCTGGAACAGGCTGCTCAGAGAGGTTGTCGATGCCCTGTTCAGGGCAGGAGGTATTCAGAGCCAGGTTGGATGGGGCCCTGGGCAGCCTGGTCTAGTACTGAATGGGGAGGTTGGCGGCCCTGCCTCTGGCAGGGAGGTTGGAGGTTCATGATCCTTGAGCTCCCTTCCAACCCACGTCATTCTGTGATTCTGTATCATAGCTGCCCGTGGCCAGGACAAATACATCTGGTGTTTAACACCTCCACTTCTAAGCTTCAGCTAGTCTGCAAATCTACATTTATTCCTTCCCCTGATGTTGACATTATTAACTGTTGTTCTCCTCACATTACTTGTTCATATGGCAAGTGTGAGAGCTTCCCTCCATTCATAGAGCATATGACCATCATTGTACAACTTCAGATCTTGCTGTAGCACTGGGAAGCACTACTCAGTATGGCATTCATGCTTTGTATTCATAAGCCTTGCCATGTGTTCCCCTACCACCAGCATGTGCTTGCAGAACCCTTTATGGATGCATTCAACATTCTGCGTACAGTTATCATTCACCTCTGCTTCATCTGACATACCTATTACTTTCTTATATACAGGCAATATGTCTTTCATACACAGTGTCACAAGCTTTGAATTTTGTTTGCTGAATCACTGAAATTTTGTGTCAGCTCTTCCACTGCCCTTGAAAGGGAAGAACAGCCACATCAGATTGAAACTGCCCTTGGTGCTCTACATTTGGTGATGCAACTGGGAGTAGTGATGTTTATGGTAGACAGATCATGCTGATTAGTGCTCAGATATTACAGAGAAAGAGACTTTGGAAAACAGTGAGATTAATAGATTTCAGGGGGAAAAAAAAAATCCTATGGTGAAATCTGTTCTAACAGGCATACTGCCAGGAGAGACATAGTAGGAGCTTTACCAATTAAGATTTTTCTAACAGAAATTGACAATTCGAGAAGTAATCATAGATAAGGACTATACACCAGTAAGAATGAGAAGATGATGAGGACGTTGAGGTTTCTAAGTTTCTCAAGAACATGAGAGTGCACTGCCTACTACTGTACGGTATGCTTCCCAGTGCAGTCAAACGTATTGCCCAAGCCACTGAGCAGAGACACGCTGGTCCTCTCTGTAACAGGATGTGGTTGGTGGATTAGAAGACAAAGCCATGGCTGATGTAATTAGCTGAACGCTTTCACAGAGCTATGGCATTATGGAACTTCAGCAGAAATGTCTCACTGTCCAAACTGATCATCTTTACTGCTTTAACAGAAAAATAATTACTTTTCAGCGCTGCTCAAAACCCATGGAGTTTTAGGCAGTAAGCATTCTAGTAATGGCAGTAGCAAATCAGTGTGTGTGTACGTGTATATATAAATACACAGGGAAATTTTGGAATTTCACTTGGGTGTGTTTACTTCATGATGAACTGAATGTTCTGACGACCTTTCTTATTTACTGAAGCAAGCGCCAGCAAGAATGAATGGCGTGCAATATAATCAGGGGTCTTTGTTATTTTCAGAAGCCTAATGAATGAACACATGACATCCACCACTTTTTGACATGACAGGCATATGGTGTTCATAAATAAATAAAAAGCCTGATGATACAGTTAGGTTGATACCACCGAATGGTAACATTTGGTAAGCTGGCAAGTTGTCTACTCTATCTTAGCTCGACAACAAAAACACAAAATATCTGAGTAAAAACAATTAATTGTAACTGATAGCTATTGCAGTTTCCTCCAATGAAGTCACATTACTAGGTTCCAAAAGAAACACTAGACTGCTCTTTAATGTATAGCTTCAGATACACTTACAATAACAATTAAAATTATTAGGGAGGCGTTTTTCAGCCACAATAGCAGTCAGCAACAATATCTACATGCCTGGTAGAGATTCACAGCAATATCAAAGTGTGAAGCAGAACCAAGGTGCCTACATTTTACTTATACTCAAAACTGAAATCCTGAAAATGCCAGAATAGCCACCTAATGGACAGGTACTGCTTTTGGGTTTTATAACAGTGGAGCTTACTGAAATATGATTGAGCCAGGTTCAGTTTTCAAACCTCTCTATGCCCTACAGATCCCAGTTTCTCATCTCTCCCAGGAATGCTCTCCATAGATCTGTCTTTCCACATTCTCGCTGCTTGCTTGAAAAATCACACTTTCACCAGTGGCATCACTACTGCAAAATCTGGAGGATATAGGAATATATGTGTTTCTTCCACACTTGCATTTCAAAGCTACAACCTGATCCCTAGCAGTGAGTCATCCCAGTGACCCTTCCACAAATGTAAAATACAAATTATTACAAGCAATTGAGATAATAGCTATGATGTATCTGCCCACAGACCTCACTGCAGAAAACCATATGCAGTACAATCCTTGTCTTTAAATCTTCAAAGCCACTCATCTGACTGCAAACTTAGTCATACATGCAGTGTAGTCAGGTAAGCAGTAATCAATCAACAGCTAACCCCAGAGTCATCCTCATCACAGAATTCATCCAACTACATCAGTTTCCTGTGATACCTACAGGTTCCACAGGACATCTTCAGGCTTCTCTGTGCTGAACCCCGACACCTATAGCAAAAAGATACAAGGCCTGATCAGGCCAGAACATCTATGAGATTGATGCCCTCTCAATAAGGATTGACCCTTCCGGAGTTTTGTAGTCAGCTTCCTTGGATTAAGGCTAGCTCAAAATTTGGGGTTAGGGTACAGTTTGGGAGAGAAGCACACATTGTATGCCTGAACATGGTTGTATTCAGACGGTCTTGAATTTATTTCCAGATGGTTGAGGTCACCTCCCTTTGGGAAGCATGGAGTTAAACTGACAATTAAGACTGAGAAAGAGTTGAAAATCTTTTATTTTCTGATAGCTGCTTAAATAAGATACAGGCTGGTACGGTAATGCCAAATCAGCCTTAATTTGGTCACAGGATAGTAAAGATCACCATTGTGAGAGTCAGAGGGCTGTGTTTGTTTTTCATAGGGTGTGCAAAAATACAGGCTCATGTTGACAATACTGAACACACGAGAGTTAGCTGCAGCACCTCTCTGGGATTTAGGCTAGAATTCCTGAGGTATCCAAAGGCTGGAAATGTTCATCCTACATTATGTCAGAATCACCAAAGTAGGAAGAGGTTTAATCCTGGCAGGACTGAAAGGATAAAAACTGGGTTTTGAGGGGTTACCCCTCAATGGTAGGGGTTCTATTCTTGTGTTTATCTTAGTGATATGGTTGGGCTACAGGAAATAATCGTCAGGAGTACTGTATTTATTTCTGAATTTCACTGGAATTGTCATCTGTTAATGGCCAGGGACATCATCTTGCTTTAGAAAAGAGAATCTGTTAATATGCTGAAGTAATATGAAAATTGCTTTGGAGCATCTTAAGGCTACATTAAGTGTTTAGTTTTAGGAAAAGCTAAGTTTTGGAGAATTGTGTGATCATCTTAATCTTTGAAGAAATATCAAAGAAGAAAAGGGATGGTATCAGAGAGATTGCACATGATACTCACAGCAGTCACCTCCTAAGTTAAACTGTGGCTAGCTGGAAGATTGGCATTAGGATGTGAGAGAAATGAGATGATAGAATTGTGGTTCTAGGAATACTATGGTTGGCAAAAGATGTGGTGTCACTGATAGTTTCAGTTCAAGATTAGGAAAGAAGGGCAAGGACTGCTGGTATTAAATATGAAGCCTGCAGGAGCCATTGAGTAGAATGAGGCTTAGTAAACAAGAAAATGTAATGGGTGACAATTTGGGCTTGGATAATTGTGCTCACTCTACTGAATCAAGGCTAGTGTTAGGATTAAGAACTGGTGTTGGAACACTGAGTTTATTTCTGAATTCTGTGGGAACCATATACTCAGCTGTTCCTGAGAGGACTAGGCTGATGCAACGGGTGATAGCTGCTTTCTAAAACACAAAGGGTTGAAGATCTGCGGTCATTTCTCCTTCCTGCAGGGGCCACCAAAACTCAATCCTGACCAAGCCCAGAGCTCACTGTCTGCCACAGAAGTATCTTAAAGCTCCACTCTTGATTTTGATCCAGATAAGTTTATTAGCACCTCCTGCCCAGAACTCTTTATCTCAAAACTGTGGTTAGGTCTGTCACTTCTGCCTGGACAAAACTACTCATACCCTAATCATTCCTGGAAATAGTTGAGCACCATGGCTCTTCCAAAGGGTGGCATGAAAGCCATTCCCAGTTCACCTTACCCCAAACTGAGCACTGGATCCCACGGCTCCAACCCCTTGTTAGTGACCATATTAATCCCGTGGATCCAGCAACAAATGAAGTTATTCTGCCCTTGGCTTCTCAAATTCTCTGAACTGAACTCAACACACAGAACAAAGAAATAACCCTGCTGTTTGTCCAGACAAATTTGTGCTCTTCTGTCCTGATGAACAGAAGGCCTCGGCTCAGTCTTCACAGGATTATGGCATCCGTTGCAACAAGCTCAGATTGACAGCCCTTGTGAACTCCAGGCAGGACTGAGGTAGGTGACAGAATTCAAGAATGGGGCAGAGTTAGAGCTACTGTGCAAAAAGGAAGCAGAGGTTGAAAAGCTAGTTCTACTGCTGGCTGGGAAAGAACTCCTGCATAGACTGTATGGGTTCAGGAAAGGATCGCTGTGCTTTAGATAAACAGACCAAGAATGAGAATGGGAAAATGAAGATAACTAGCCTAGGATTTAATCTATGATTAAGATGAAAGAAAAGATGCAGCTTTTGGAGAAGATAGATGGATGAATTAGAAGAGGTAACGGAGTAGAAAAAGCTGGCAATATTAGTTAGGAAAACATTTTAAAAGGGTCTGCTCATCTAAATTTTAAACTCATAATTAAAACCGGTATGGGACAGAATGAGGTGAAGATATATTTTCAGATATATTTTCATGTAGGGTCTGTATGTCTGTAGCATGATGGTAGTGTTGTAGTGCAAGTTAGGTCTATTGCTGTGAGAGCTACCTTTCCTTGTTGAAGGCTATGATTGCTTGGAATCACGTGTACCTTAGGAGAGAAGAACCAGAAAAGGCTTGTTCATTGCAGGAACCCACAAGGGCTGCAAAAGCAGTAAGAAGAGTGGAGACATCAGAGGGAATTAAGGTGTGTTTTTTCCTTAAGAAATGCTTCCTGGACCTCAAGTTAATTATGTCATTGTGGTTGTGTTTGATTTGTGACAGACAGACTCAGGCTGCTACAAGGGCCAGCTGATGAATCCTGTCTAAATATAAGAATTTTGCCCTTTATTGGGATATAGATACGGAAAGTTAAGTTTTGTTTCTGGATCATGGAAGACCAGCTGTTCTGGGCTCAGTCAGCCAAAATCTCCAGTCTTCCACTTGGGCTCAGTTTTGTGTTGGGCTGTGGATACAGCTTGAAACTGGTGAGATTGATCAGCTCCATCTGTTGCCACAGGCTTTATAGGCTAGAAGACTGGGAAGAGGAGTGCTGCCTCTGCAGATGCAACACACTTAGGACTGTGGGAAGGAAAGAATTTCTTGAGTGACTACAGCTAGAAGTAAGGACAGATTTCTTAGCTATACAGCAGACAGTTGCAGGTTTGGAGAGAGAACCCGGGCAAACAGGATAGGAAAAGGATTCATTTGCTGAAGTGAGATCCAAGATTAAAGATATCAAAGCAGTGTGAGTGTTCGGTTTATGCCTGAAGTCTGTAAGTCCGCAGGTCTGGTATGTGCGCTGACAATATGAAGTCATTGCTCAATTACAGTAAACAAACTGTATTTGTTACTGGATCCCACAGGCCAATTAAGCTGAAAATTTGTTTCCAAAAACCCCTCTATTGGATCAGATTCGATGACAGCTTTGAGGCTTTAAGGAAGCTTTGTACTGAAGATCTACTAGCATTAGGTGGCTGTAGAAGGCTGACAATATTTGGAGGATGGATGATGTAGTTAGCTGTAAGAAATCACACTATAGCAATCAAAAGTTGATGGGCAAGAGAATAAAGATAAAAGTCTGGTGTCTGGAATGAAAGAGGCAAATTCCTTAATAGAGCTGCAATTACTTCTGGGGTAGCCAAACATTACTTTTCTGGCCTTAATGCAAGAATCCATGACTACATGGACTACAATGACTACAAAACTAGGCTAATTCTCCATTCCTGCAGACATCACAAGACAAGCAGGGGTGGTGGGCACAGAAAGGGACAGGGAATGCTATGGTTGGTTTTAGGTGAAGTTCATCCATTTGGCCCTCAAAGGGGCGAGGAGTTTACAGTTCTCCTACGCAGTGTGCTGTAGTGCTCTACGGTGCTGACACCTTGAGTAGGACTACTACATAAGTTGAGGTCACTGGGCCAGAGCTTATGGTGACAATTAACCATCAGAGCAGAATTGGCTTTGTTGTGTTTAACAGAGGGTTCCAGACCACTATAAGAAGTATGCTGGGAGATGTCTTGGGGCAGAGTTAATGGCCTTACTGGATTCAGGCCAAAGTTAATGTCTTGGAATCACAGGAAGTGAAAAGCAACATTCATGTCTGGATCACAGAATCACAAAATGGTTGAAGTGACAAAGGGCCCTCTGGGTCCACTTGGTCCAGCAGTTAGAGCAGAGTACCCAAACCCATGTCCAGAATGAGACTCCAAAACCTGTCTGGGCATTCTCTGCCAGTGCTCCATTTCCCACACAGCACAGAAGTTCTTCCTGGTGTTCAGTGGGAACCTCCTGTGCTTCAGTTTGTCAACTGCCTCTTGTCCTGGCACTGGGCACCACTGAAAACAGCCTGGCCCCATCTTCATTGCATCCTCCCTTTAGGTATTTAGACACTGAAGGGATACCTCCTGAGCCTCTTCTTCTCCAGGCTATAAAGTCTCATCTCTCTCAGTCTTTCATCTCTCAGGATCCTGCTAGGTTTGCTGAGCTTAAATCTCAGTTAGTTCTAACATAATAACACAGATTGTTTAATCTGCAGAATCTGAAGGATGGTGTGGGGTTTGGGGTTAGTTTTAGTGACAGCACAGCCTGGTGCTGCACATTCTAGGCCATTAGAACCAGTACAACGACTGCAGAGCCAATGTTAGATATGGGGCAAGCAGGGCCTAAGACTAGGATTGATGTCATTATGGGTAACATTTGGTACTAGAGGGACTGAGAAGTTCTTGAAAATCATTTCTGGAAACCAGTGCTTCGCTCCTTTATGTTAAGAGAGGGGACTTCACAGGGAAAGTCTAACAGACAGAAGCACAAGGAGATAGAGGCACTAGCACTTATCAAGGCTTTGTGACCACAAGGGTTCGGTTCAGAAGTCTATACACATGTGCACATGTTTCTCCAATCTGTAACCTTCCTCCCATCCTTCCTGTCTCCCTGTGAGCCTCCCTGCCCCCCAGCTCCCACAGCCCTCCATGTCCTTTCTTTTGTTCTGCCGCATCCTTCTCAGCACAGCACAGGGCCGAGGCAGCAAGAGGAGAAAAAGAGGAGGGAAGCAGCTTTACCAATTGCTTTGGCTCTGCGTGCAGAACAATAACAACCACGAGCCCCACCATAACAGTAGTAATGGAAATGCTGCTGGGCCCCGGCTTTTCCATCTTGGGGTGTAAGGCAGGTGATGCGGCTGGGGGTCACCGCCGGCGTTTGGTTTGGGATGTAAGCATCTGGGGGCTGCCGGCTCGCAGCGGTGACCCCACAACCCCGCCGGCACTGCTTATCTGCCCAAGCCTGGGGACACGCGCAGACTCCCCGCCGGGCCCTCCGGCAGCAGCCCCCGTTCCGACGGCATCCAGCTGTTGCCGCCAGCTGTGTGCCAGCCCCGGCCGAGCCGCGGCCGAGAGCGGGGGCCGCCCCACCGCGGTCCCCGCCCCTGCGGGAGGAGGAGGAGGAACCGAGAGTGCCCGACCCGGTGGCTTTTAGGCGGGGAGGCCACTCGCCGCTTAGCGCTCCTCCGCCCGCCGCCGCTCCGCCGGGCTGGCCGCTGCCCGGCCGCTGCCCCTCCCGTCCCCGGCACCTACCTCGAGCCCCCCGCGGGCTGCGGGGCTCCGCGCCCGGAGCAGGAGGCAGCTGGGCGGGCAGAAGCAGCGGGGAGCCGCGCCGTGACCGGGTGGCGGGGGGGAGACGGGAGGCAAAGAGGAGGAAAAAGAAGGCAGGAGAACAGGGCTGACTCTGGGAGCGGGTCTCGGCGCCCAGGACCCGCACGCCCCGGCGGCCACGCGTGGGTGCAGAGCTCAGGGCCGGGCGGAAGATGCACACGACGCAGAAGGACACCACCTACACCAAGATCTTCGTCGGGGGCTTGCCCTACCACACCACCGACTCCAGCCTGCGCAAGTACTTCGAGGTGTTCGGCGACATCGAGGAGGCGGTGGTCATCACCGATCGGCAGACGGGCAAGTCCCGGGGATACGGCTTTGTAAGTGCGGGGACGGCTGCGGCCGCCGTCGGGAGAAACTTCTGCGGGGGTCGCTGCGTGGGGAGCGGGAGGGTTTGGAGGATTTTCCTTCTTTCCTTCCTTCCTTCGTTTCTTTCTTTCTTTCTTTTTTCTTTTTTTTTTCTTTCTTTTCTTAGTTTTTTGTTTTGTTTTGTTGGGTTTTTTTTTCCCCCCTCCCTGCTGGGCACTTCGGAGAGAGGCGGGGGGAGGATTACTGAAAAAGGAGATGGAGGGCGAATCCCGTCGCTTCTCGCCCAGCCTGTTGCTCCCTGATACGGCCTCGCCGAGGGTTATCTGCTGCCGGCGGAGCTCGGCCCGCACCCTCGGCGGCTGCGGGCTGCCGCGGAGCAGCAAGGCAAGGCGGGGGGAACCCCGGGTGGCTGAACCGGGGCGGGGGACTTCTCCCAGTCGCCCCGAGGGAGAGATCTAACGCGGAGCCTCGCCCCTGAAGGTCACCATGGCCGACAGAGCCGCTGCCGAACGAGCGTGTAAGGACCCCAACCCCATCATCGATGGTAGGAAGGCCAATGTCAACCTGGCGTACTTGGGTGCCAAGCCGAGGATCATGCAGCCAGGTGAGGACGCGGCCCTGCGTGCACCTTGGGTTCCTGAAGGGAGTTGAGCTTTGGGAAAGGTAGTGCTGGGCCACACTCCCCCGAAGCGCACTGGGGGGCCAGGTGTGCTTTTGTCTCTAAAGGCAGCACGCAGTAACTTTGTGGTTATTTGTTTAAGCACCAAAAGCAACTGGAGATACAATATCCCAAGTTCTCCAGGAGGATTTGCACAGTTCAGATTCTTCATTGGCTATTTCCATTGCTGAGGAGCTGACCATTTACAGTATCATTGCAGGGAAAGAGTGGCCTGGGAATGAATCGCTTCGAGTGTGTGTGGTCTTATTAATACCAACAGTATCTTAAAGGAAAGTCCTAAAACAGATGGGAGCTATGGGAAGGATTTTAAAATAAAATAGCATTTCCCAAGGCCACATCTGAGCCAATCTGATGTCCTTGCCACTTCCCAAAGTGCTGCCTCGCACCCTGAGAGAGCTTTGAGCACGGCGCGTGTAAACGTCTGTGCTCTGAAGGTGTTGAGCCCAGGGAGCGCTGTGAGCAGTTCTGTGCCCACACAGGAAAGGGATTTTGTGCTTGGGCATTTGGAGAGCAGAAGCAAAGTCAAGGATTTGAACCCCTGCTAAGTCCTCATGTGGAGAGGGCTAAGGCTTAAGTCTGTAAAAACAGCACAGATACACCGATGGTTAAAAAGGGCCATATATAGATGGACAGTAAGGACCAGAATGGAGCATAAAATCAAAAGTTAACGAAAACTTTCTAGTGGTTATTTAGCCAGAGTCATTCTTCTAAACACCACTAGGGAAGCGTGAGCTTCACTGTTTTAATTTCTGCACGGATGTCTGTGTGCGTGTGTGTGTAGGGACCGATGTGTTTTGCTTTCTGGTTTGTGGCTCTCCAGCCTTAGAGACATCACCACTGGAGGCCGTTACCCTGCGTTTGTGTGCGTGTGTGTGGCAAATAGCCAAAGGAAACTCATATGGAGAATGTGATGTGTTTTCCTTGGTAGGTTTTGCCTTTGGTGTTCAGCAGCTTCATCCAGCTCTCATACAGAGGCCTTTTGGGTAAGTCTGTTCAATGGGACCTCAAACAGGGGAGGAGAATTCTTTTTTTTTTGCAAAAGTATGATCCTTGAAGGCCTCTGGCACTAGCATCCTTATAAACACAGCAGCAGTACTGCAGATTGCAGACTTACAAACGTATGCCTGTAACTGTGCTCTCCTTGTCGGTAACGTTCTGAACGCTGTAGCCGAGTCAAGTTGTGTGGGACGCGTCCCCTCCACCTAAGCAGCCCGGTCCCATATGACCCTATGATAAAACAAGGAGGTATGAATTTATGCAAGATTGCTGTGCCCCGTTTCTCTTTTTTCAGCTTGACTCAATGTTATTTATCTCTTTCTAATCTGACAGGGATCGTTTACAGTTAAGATAACTGATCAGAAGGATATGATGATAAGAGGTGGAATAGTTCTGTTTGGAATTAAACTCTGTAACCAGTAGACTCAAACACAAACAAGCTAAAATGGTGATTAACGATGCATGTATGTTTTTTTCATATAGTCAATAGACCTCCGTGTGCTTTTTTTCATTTATTTATTACGGTAATGAAGTGGTGTTGATAGCTAAACTGTGTGCTTTTATTTACTCGAAAGAGCTGTAGTGAAAGTGTTTTTTTGGGGGGGGGGCGGGGTCTTTTTAATTTTGTTTTTGTTGTTGAGGAGTGACTTTGCCATGGGGAGCAAAGGGCCTTTTTTTGTTTCCTTGCTTTCAAGCTGTAGCTTGTGACTTTTTTAACCTTATTTTGTAGTGAGTGCTAAATGGTGTGACTTCTTGGTTTTCTTTAAGTGAATCAACATATTGCTTGCATGTTCATAATTCTGGGGGGGGTTGTTCTCAGGAGGGGTGTGGAGCTCCTTATTAACAATGTGCGTCCTGTTGGGCTTTCTAATTGGAGATCTTTTCCTTCGGTCTGACTTTAATACGTAGCACATTTCTCCTTTACTCGACTATACTGTTCCTAAGTATCTCTAACTCTTGCTTCCTGTAGGCATTTAATTAGGAGGTGAGGTCTGCTTCAAAATTCCGATACGGCGTCACTTCACTAACGCGCACTGGCTGAGAAACTCATTGCAAAACAGTGCATTTGGCTAATTAATGAAAAAGCTAACAATCAAGTAGGGAAAATGTGTCACAACTAGAATAGCTTCATGCAGTGTACCCAGCTGCCACAAGCAGGAATAGCTTCTCAATAGTTTGCTTCATCAAACCTGTAGGTAACTGTAGGAAAAAGTTTTCCTAGAAGCTTTATGCGCTTTTAGAGGAGAACGTTTGCTCTCCTGAGACACCTGGGGAGGCTGTGGAAAACTTTCTGTCTTTTTTTCTTCTTCCTCTGCTGTACTTTGTTTGACTTGTTTGAAGTGTGAGGGGACGGCAGTGTGTGCGCGGTGCTCAGTGTGTGACGCCAGCACCGAGGAGGGCAGGAGGTGGAGTGCGTGGTCTGCAGAGCTGCTACAGCCCTGCTGCAAAGAGGAACCAGTGAACTGCCCAGGGAGCAGCCGTGGAGAGAGTATTTGCTGAGCATAACAGAAAAGGAGAACCTGTGCAATCTGTTGCTGAAAGCACTGTGCAAGTGGAGGGCTCCTTCTTGCTTTCCCTACCCCGAGCCAACAATAGATCATTGAAATCTTGCTTAGGTCAGGGGAATTCTTCCAGCAGGCTGAATAAGGTTTTATTTCTAATGCAAAGTATATAAATCTGAGGAGAGGAATGTTGGTACCAGGGTTGTGTATATATCAAATTAGTCATTTTTAATCCTTGCTTTTTGCCTTTCTTTTGCTATGTACAGACAAAGGAGATTACTAAACCTGCTTCCCCCTGGGAATTTCCAATGGCCTGTGTATTTTCTAAGGGATGTACTTCAAATTAGGAAGGACAGCATTCATTAGGATAAATGAAAACCTTCGTTCTCTATATTCCTTGACAATTCTGCTGGGCTGTTTCAGTGCTTGAATCTACATTTATTAAGAGCTCACTCTCAGATGATACTGCATGGATTGCACACCTTAAAACCTCTCATC